AAGAGTTCTTGGTTTATTTTTTAAAGAGAGATTATGTTAGCTGATTGGAATGGGAGGGTGGCTGTTCCTGTAGATTACTTATGGAAGAAGATAACAGTTTCTCATTCATAGTACAAGGTTTTAGTTAAAACAATATTCTTTACTCTCTTTAAAGTAAATGTGTTGTGCTACAACATGCAGTATATAAAACATTTCTTATTTTACTAATTTCTCTTAGGCTGTGTTTCACTAGTCTTTGTTTTAGAGAGCCTGAGTCTGTAAGGAGGGGAGAAGCCTAATATTTTTCTGTACAGTTGGGTTTACCTTTGGTATATTTAGTGCTTCCAACTCTATAGATGATGCCTTGGACTGAGATTAAATAAAATAAGTGAACAGTACAGCGGGTATATGGAATGGTGAGAATACTTGATGATCAAAATAATGCATCCTTTTTTCCTTCAAAACAGCTTGTTGTTGGTGGTTGGTTTTTTTTGGTTTTTTTTTTTTTTTGCTTGTTAAAAGGGTCATATTTCTCAAGTTTCTTTGCAATTGTAGCCAGTCATCCTGTTTCTTAATTACTTGGGACCAGGGATGCTAGTGTAGAAATGCATCCTTCTGCGTCCTTTCTAGATCTTCCTTCCAGACTTAACTTGCTGATGGAGTCCATCAAATGGCTACTGGAATTTCAGAATTCTTTTACTGCAAGTCTTTAATTTTGAATGCTGTTACTCAATCAGTTTGTAATTATGCTAGTCTAATTTAATAAGTTTAATAACAATAGTATACAAATTGTAAGTCCTAATTGACTGGAAGAGCCAGCTTGAAATACTGTAAGTTATTTCCATTACTAGTGACAGTGAAGGGAATTTTAAGACATAACTACTGTCTTGAGCATTACCCTGGACAGTATTAGTGCATTCCTTTCCAAACGCCTTAATTAGTTGTTGATATTAATTCTTTTATAAAGGGGTTAAAAAAAATGGGGGTGGGGTGAGGAAAAAAAAAAGGGGGGGAGTGGAAAGCGAAGGATTTGTGGTCAGTCGGTAGGCTGCCGGACAGCCTGGCGTTTTGCCCCACAGTGCTGGAACATAACAGCAACAACAATTTATTTTCCTTCCTGAGCTAGTAGGAGCTGATCTGTGACTTCAAAGAGGAAGTGAAATGTGGACAAAACTGTGCTTGGAAGGCAAAATACTTCTAACACAAATCAATTGCAGTGCAAAGGTATCTATGATGTCCCTATCGTAATGTAAAATGCAATAATGTCTGGAGTTCTCCAACGTGGTGACCAATGCCAATTGTAAGAACGAGGGAGTTGATTCGGTGGCAGGACTGCTGCCGTCTATGACGATAACGGTTGATACTATTTGCATGGTGAATGAATTAATTCACTGTCAATGTGTTTGTAAACCTGCAGCCAATTTTTTTTTTTTTTTTTAAATTGGCAGGTGTTTCTTGTTCTTCTGTTGAATTAAGCAAATGATGACACTCATTTTGCTCTGTTACTGCACTGGGTGATGTGTGTTGTGTACCTATGTTTGGGCTTTGGTCAGATTGTATCCTCTCCCAAACACTCTTGTATTTTATCTTCTTTTTTTAATACAGTATCATAAATTAATACAAGGCAAATAATTTGCATTCCCTCTTTTTTTTTTTTTGACATTATAGTAGTTAAATAAGCAGTACTATTTCATTTTATCCTTCTTTTGCAAGAATGGTGGTCAAAGTTCTTTTCTCCCAATTTTTAAGGGTTATGATCTTTATTTGAATTGTGGAGGGTCTAAAGGAGTCTCTTTCAATGTAATTGTCTTCTTGAAGTGCAGGTCAACTTACAGTGCATTTTGCAAAATTGGTTGTATGTAGACTCTGCCAATGTCAAAGACCATTAAAACAGAGCAAACAGAATAAGAAACTCTGCTTACAGATTTGCTTTAAGATGCTTTGGCTCTATTCGTGATACAGTGTAAGGAAAATCCAGAAAATAGTCATGGCTTAAGAATAAAATCTGCCACCTAAATTGAAGAAAGTGGCATGATAATGTCTTGCATCTTTGAGAGAGAGAACACTGCATTTCAGCCGTGACTGCATTGTGTTTTTTCTCTGGAGTTTATATGGACTTACGAGATGATTTTCTCATGTGATGGGAGAACATCAAAAGGTCCTGCTCACATCTGAGAAATAACAATATGACAATTCTAGCAAAGTTTTGGTT